TTTGGTATGAATAAAATATTATTTTAGTATGGTATAACTAGATTACAAATTAAGAATTCGATAAAATGAGACCCGGGACTTTAAAGTACAATTTTACGCCGACCTTATTTGAAAATGATGTTCAACAATTTAATATGATATATTGTTTTTAGTATTGTTAGTAAGTAGTTTACTAATGTACTTATCAAGCTTAAATCTTTAAAGTTATCAAACAAAAAAAAGAAGATTATATCAGATCTTTGTAACTGCGCATTTAAATTTCCAGAATTTTCCACCGCAGAGCGACGCAGACTCTACAGCCTCCCTCATAAATCAATAACCACCTTCCCACACCTGTCCTCCTTCCCACCCCCGTGGAGAACACCCACACGATACAATCCCACACAGTTTCCGGGGAGTTATACCCCCTTTGTAAATTAAAGCCATAAAAATTAATGATTTAATGATATTCATTTAATAAATGGAAAATGTTAGTTAAAGTTGACTAGAGTTTATTGAAAAATGTATTTTTGTAATTTATAGTCTATGAGTACGATTGTACACAAATAGATTTCTTTTGTGACCAAATTATCTCATGAAATTATCTATCTATACTATGTTGCGATTGTAACGAATTAACTCAAAAACTAATGGACCGATTTAAAAAATTCCTTTACTATTAGGATCTTACGTTATCACTGAGTAGCATAGGCCATATTCATTATTAGATTTTTTATGTCTGTTCGGACTAAGTGGTGGACGAAAGCTAGACAAAAATAGGAAGTGGATGCAAAGAATTACAAATTACATAAGACTGTAGAAATTTACATCTTTGTATTTATTTACATTCTAGTCTAGATCTCTTTTATTAATTGTTAATTGTGATAAGGCTCGATTATAAACAAGCTAGGGTTATAAATCCTGACCTACGCAATTTGACGGCGCAAATCCAGAAGATCAATATAACCCAGGGTCTAGTAATAAAGTGCCCGGATATGCATTGCGCAGGTCACGGTTTCCGGCATAGGCATTGAAAGTTTCAAATATAAAGTGCGCTTCAATTACCAGGATATGTCAAAAATCGGTAGAAAGTTCCGGTTGTAATCAAAACTTCTTGAACTTGTTTGTCACTAAAAAAAGTAAAGTCGATAGCAAAGCTAATTAAAGAAAAATAATCGGTAAAAAGTTCGGTTAAAAAAATCGATTTAATCTTTCATTTTGCGGATTAATTTGGACTATTAGAAAACATATTTTTATTTCTACTTATAATTATTACTTTCTCCATTATTTAAAAAAAAACTTTTCATACCAATGCTGGAATTCTTAATCTCTACTTTAGCTTCTACTTTAAAGTTGTAAATATTCATAGTTCTAATGCAATAACTTCCGGATAATTATAACGACCTACGCAATGCAAGAGCGCATGTCCGGATGCTACTAAATCAATATGTTGCAGGCTTCAACTCTGAAGCCAATATGGCGGACGTACTGTGCATATCGAAATGGACAAAGGAATATCACCTTATCAGAATGTAGACAGTAAATTTTCGTATATATGCTGCAATGGAAATCTAAAGTGTGTTTCCACTGACTAATACGTACATCACTAGTCAAAACGAACAATAAATACAACAATAATAAGATAATAACGCCAGCAGTAGCAACAACTGTTGCATGATACGATGAAAAAATACAAAACATCCCATAGTGAATCTTTGTTTCCTCTAATGAGATACTCTAAACTCTAATAACATCTCTCTACATTTTTTTAAGTTGAATCTTATTCTAATTACCCCTTCTTCGTTAACAAAGAATGATAATAAATCATTAACTCATCTCGAGTTATATCAATATGGTGATAAGTAGAGCTGGTCTAAAAAAATCAGAAGAGTCGTGTCGGTCTTGTCCTAAAAAAAATCACTTACCTGTATATACGAAGACACGCCTGAAGTCACGTTTAAAGAACCTACTTAAACGTAAACAAACAAAAGAATTAAATTAAAATCAAATTAATCGTAAATAAAAATATGATACAAATTATACATCGCGTACAGAAAACAAACCGCCGTTATAGAAAATGTAAACATAATTTATTAGTTTTCTGATAAGAAAATAATACAATAATATCAGCAAAAAGAAAATAACGTGCGACATTGGACGCTTGCTCACGAATGGCATAGAATATATAATTTTCTTATTCCCGGGGGAGAGCCACGGCGCAGGTCTGGGAGATGGCGGGGTTATAAATCAATAACGCTCAACAGGTACCGGGAAACGGCGAGGTCGACACGGAGAGGGGGTGAAATTTCTAGATGTAAGCCCGGGAATTGCGCCGTTAGGTTAAAAATAGAACTAACCAAGGAATTGTACCCAGGGAAGAGCTGCGCAGTTATCTTTTAAATAAAATATTTATACGAATGTTCGAATGCCCAACCTTTTCTCGAATCACGAATATTCAAATAAAAGTTTTCCCATAAAACACGATGTTTAGTTTCTGAAACTGCCGTGAGATGGCGCTCTGTAAAATATAACGCCATCTGTTAATATTTGGTGGAACTAGTACGGTAATGTTGATACAACGTAAGAACGGAAGATGGCGCTGTTGCAAAATTAACATTTTTATCAGTGATAACTTCGCATTGTTTTTTATTTTCCTTTCATTGTCTTAAATAGAAAAAATATACAAATACGATACGATTGCGACCGATATCGCAAGTTAATGTAATTATCGGTACGTATGTTTATTGGGGTGTTAGAATTATAGCATACTCGTAAAAAAAAATCTTACACGCTTTTTCAAAATACTAAAATTTTACAAAATTTTAAACGCTGCTAACAAAACTTATCAAATAAAATTAAATTATATTTCAAGTTATGCTACGCAAAGCTCTTGTTAAATGGATGGTTGTTATCAGGTATTTATTGTAACTGTAAAATATAGCCATCAATTTTCATTAGCTGTGTACAATGATAAATTGATTCGACGTCTAATAGAGATAACAATTTGAAAACTATTAAGGTTTTCCAAATATTTTTTTTTCAATAAATAAGAGTTATTTAAGAATCACATCTACATTTGTCACGACATATATTTTATGAATACTTAATATATGGCGTGCAAATTATTATGGCCATTATAAGTGTGTAAGCTTTGCGTAGCTACAGTTATAAATAACTCGTCTCCACCCTATTGGCAGTTCGACGGCGCAGCTCAGACGGGCCATAAATCAATAAACGTTCTGGAAGCTTCCATCGCTTCGGCTCGGGGTAAATATGCGAATGAAATATGAACTCTTTTTGTTGGAACCGTAAACATGAAAATATAAACAAATTTGAAATGTTTTAATAAATTAAATAAAATTTTGTATAATAACAAGATAGTGCAATACTCTTTTTTTATTTGTCGTTGGATAAAAAACAAGTTTTTTTTAAGTTTCATTACCTCTCTGCTTGCAACATTATTTGCTACGGCGTAGAATGTGTCTACGCCGTAGAGATAGAATTGTTAGGAATAGACTACGATCGATCAATTTTAAAACTCAAAGCGATATGGTAAAACTATAAGATTTTGTTTGTTGTTTTCAGTGTCAAAATATATCAGACAGTTACGAACAAATCGTTGTTAGTTGTATATTGGTGCAAAAATAAATTCTTTTTTTACAATTATCTTTATAGTTATTTTATTGGTGAATATATTGAATTATTAAAATAATCAGAGAGTTATTATCTTTTAATCCTTGCCGTAATATTCTTAATGATAATGTAAAAACAATTTATGTTCTATCTGTGTTTAAAAAAAAAGAATCAGTGATGAAGAAATAGTGATATATTGCTGTTAAGACGATGAAAACTGACCATAAAGAGATATCAAAAAGAAAAGTTAGATTATGTCTAAAACAATTCTGACGTCATAACATCTAGATCTGTCTTAATTATAATGGTAGGTGGGGTGGGGGAGGGATTCGTCGCTATATTTTGCGTTCGAACTCCTACGATGAATTAATTACGCCCAAACTTGAAATTGAAACCGTAGACAAAGAAGTTGATGAAAAAATCAAATAAGGAAAATAAAATATATATATATGACACAAACCAAAATAATATAAAAAACTAAATAAAATAAATACCTTTAAATGTACTGGGTATTGTGGAACGATAATTTTCCAGTAATAAAGGATTCGCCACCTCGCAAAAAAATCAAAAAATTATAAACAAAAAAAAATATATATGTATAATAAATCATAAGACTACGACATAAAGACTTACCTGCAACCGTATCAAGCTGGCGATGATGATGATCAGCGCCACTGCAAGGTACATGCACTTGTTTTTGAAATACTTTTAAAAATTATAACAAAGATAGAAGGCTACAGTCGATTGTTCAGGTGCGGTACCGCTGGGCAAATGGACGTTACCCGGTGGTAGCTAGCAATCGATATCTTCACGCATGCGCTTTACTGTAACTACGCAGTAGTTTGACGATAAATTATATTTTCAGCATTCAAATCACGTACCTGAGTGATTCATGATAAGCCCACATTTCCCGTGTAGACGTGAATTCGACTTATATAGTTAAACATACAATTTTCTACATACATCAAGCTAATAAGTATAGAGATCGTCTGGGTTTGGTAGGGCTGGGCCAAATTACTTGACGTAACCTGTAATATTTATCCTTATCCATTTTTAATATTATTCTAGACTCATAAATAATACTATGGTAGTTCACATTCTATTTTTGAATAAAGGTCACAGGGTTGTAAGTATATGTGATTTAATGCCCTTTAAAAGAGTGAAGGCAACCAGGGTTTGAATTTTCAGATGGTAATTACCAATACGAAACGTAAAATATTTAAATAAACAGTCGCAGGCCGCGCTCTTTTTGGTCCACAAATAAAAAACAATCTGGCAACACCAAAATATACGTCAGTTGTTCTTGCTCTTTACTATCTTTACTCTTTATCTTTTGACAATTGATCAGTCAGTCGTCGTTGTCATTTTGATTGTAAAGACAAATTTGTTTGATTTTGTGTTGTTATTATTAATACTTATAGAGTCATAATTATAATTTCTATTCAGGCGTATTACTGTAATAATCTAAATTGAAGCATTTCAAGGTAATACTAGATTAAAATTTTATGATTTTAAATACATAGACTTTCACAACAAAAATGACCATCCAACGTATTAACGTAATAACAAATATTATTTCTTCTAATTCTCTAATATTTTTATTTACATTTTGGTCATTTCAGGCACTGAAGTCTATTATTAATTAAGTATGAATATTAATTCAATAACTGTATCAAAGATATGTGAAAGAAGGGAATTCATTGAAACATACTGCGCTGATCCTACATAGGGAAAAAGACAGACACGTAATGATCAAGTTAACAGGATACATGAAAACTGTTACATTTTAAAGATTGAATTTGTAACAAGATATTAAAAGGTAAGACAGTATAAGATCTTGATGAAAATATATAAATTAAGTAATGGAATTAAAAATTGAAATTGCGTGGGTCTTAAAACAATTATTAACAATTGAATACTACTCGACTTTGGTTAGCTGCGGCTTGAAAAGGTAAAATACTTTTTTTATATCAAAAGATGGCAAACGAGCGAGCGGCCACCTGAAATCGCTGAAATAGCGAAGTGACCGTTGCCCATAGACATACGCAATTGCATATGCGTCGCCTACCTTTAATCGACAGCGGAGAGGATGCACAGAAAGTAAATATCTTCCCTTTCCATGCATCCTCTCATCCGGAAAGTCCACTTCCACTTCCCGTCCTTTCCTTATAAAGAAAAGGATGGGAAGGGAAAGAGGACTAAATTAGGCCTCCGGGACGCACAATCATCAGACGAAACGCGGAATTGCTTCTACTTGACGCCTGTCTTCTGTGTGGTCGTGGTATTTCACCGGGCGAGCTGGGCCGTGGGTGTCATAATTTTTAGTTGTGCTTTATTGTATTATTTTAATGCAATTGGCATATGGTCACTGGCCAGGATCTTTGCTTATGACTATAGTCCTTTAAACTGTTTTAATATGAATCTAAATAAAAATATATTTTAAATGCTAAACACAAGTGTAGCAAAAACCCTAGTGGGCTTTGACCTCTGATAATGTACTAATTTATAAGCTAAATCCTTTTTCATTTCATTACAGATGTAAAAATGATGCAAACCAGAGAGAGAGAGAGACAGTGGCAGGGACAAAAAAACTCCTTAACTCTTAGAATGGAAAATAATCATCCCCTGATGATGATTATAGATTTTAAGGCATTAAAAGAGGACTTTGGCTTGTGGTTTTTCTAGTTAATTATTTGACTAGAACATCCGGTAAACAATCAATACTTTTTGGTCAAATTAATTAGCTGTCGGCTTTGTGTAAATCTTTTGTCCATGTTTAAATTTGATAAAATTTGGTGTTGCCAGGTTAAATTTATTAACTGTGTATTTGTTAAAGGTTGTTCATACACAAGGCAACTTAAATCATTGAAAACTGGTGATTTTAATTTGTTAATCAACTTACGCAATACAGTTTTATAGAATACATTGCTATTTACTTATCTAAAAAGGCGATTGTGTTTATTAACTATGTTATTATTATTGTTGATAGATGTTCCCAAGTTCTTGATCTTGTTTGTTCCGCTTTTGTTTCTTTACTCCATTGTATTACACCAAAATATAGTTCATTATCATCATATAGCTCTCCCGAAGGGGTATCTAACTGAGTTGTAGCTGTTTATAAATGTTTGTACCCTTATAAGAATGTAATACAGTTTGCAATAAATGAATTATTATTATTATAGAAGTTTATATACAGGCATGAGTGGCTGACATTTCATTCTTCCGGTGAAGTCTATACAGTTAACATGTCGCTATGCATGTACAGACCAAATAGCCTGTCGACGACTCAACGCAACGCGATACTCGTGACATGATGATTCAATATTAGTTTCGAAAATTTACGTCGCCTGTAATGGGGCTTATGGGGAAATACTATGATAGCTATTTAAAAATCTTACTAATATTATAAATGCGAATGTTTTGATGGATGGATGTTTGTTACAAGGTATATCCAGAATGCCTTCACGGATTTCGCTGATATTTGGCGCAAATGTAAAATATAGTCTGCAATAACAAAACTTCGCGCAGACGGAGTCGCAGGCGATAGCTAGTCTGATATATGTTAAATATGTTTAATCCAAATAGGTTTTCATCAAAAGGTGCGTGTAAGCTTAATTAAAATAATTTTTTTATTTAGTTTATTTTTGTTTCCCAGACTAACCAATTAGAAAGCTTTTATCTTTAATGTTACTATTATAACGATAATTACCATAAAAGTCTTTTAAGTTAATGTCTCATCAAAGTGACATTTATTTTAACGAATGACAATAGGATTAATAATATTTGAATATTCCTAATATTCAGTTGGTTACTTATTCTTAACCATGTTAGTCGTGATAGTAATTTTTATATCTCTATGTAGAGGTCAAGAAATTTTAATTCAAGAGAATAATACGGATTTGGTTCATTGCATTCAAAATGTAATTTTACATAATTTTCAAAGAAATTCAACTTTAACTTACGTCGATTTTAATTATCAAGATAATGATGTTATAAAAAATATTCATGAGATGAATATAGTGACAATTATATCAAGAACTATGAGAAGACGAACTACCCATTATAATGAAGCTTATATTATTATGGTTGGTAATTTTGATATTTTCAAAGATGAATTTGAAAATCTAACAAAAGAGAAATATTGGAATCCTAATGTTTATTTTTTGATTGTATTCAAAGAAATTGATGCAAAATTATTAAACAATTTATTTCATATTTTACTCCATCATCATATATTTGACGTGGTGGTGATTAATTCTATGGATAAAAAATTATTTACATACAATCCTTTCGATGACTACAACTGTGGAAAATCTTTTACGAGTATTATAAAACTAGAAAATTGTGCTATGAATTTAACAAATTTATATTTTTATAAATTTACTACTGGTCTTAAGAAATGTAATTTCAATGCTGTTGTATCAGATTGGCCACCGTACGTCATAATTCCAGAAAAAAATCTCGGACCAGTAAAATTACTAGGAAGTGAACAATATATTATGAACATTTTAAGTAAATTGGAAGGTTTTAATATTAATTATACTTATAAAGATAATGCAGAAGAGTTTTCTGTGATCGATAATGATATGGAAGCAACTGGTTCATTGAGTTTAATACAAAATAAAAACACAGATATAATATTTGGTGGAATGTTATTAACGTACGAAAGAGCAGCGGCGTTTAGTTATTTTTGTGGACATCACGCGTTCGTAGATCAATTAGACATCGTTGTCAAAAAAACAGGCCCTTTACCAATTTGGAAAAATTTATATTTGGAATTTACTTACGTTGTTTGGATTTTATTGGCATTTACATTTTTTATATTTTTCACTGTCCTTATTTCGTTTTGTATTAAGGAAAAATGTCGAACAGTTCTTATCATGTGGTCTATTATGCTTCAACAAAGTTGCAGATTATATTATAAATTTAAAGTTAAATGCTTTATATTTCAATGGGTACTATTCTCTTGTCTGCTTAATATATACTATCAGTCAAATTTAATGGGTCTTACAACACATGTTAGTCATAATTATCAGATTTCTAATGATAAAGATCTTCAAGATTTTAAACTTCAGTCGTGCGTGAGTCTTGTTATAAAAGAAGTTGTAAGAATAACAACAGGGAAGGAATATGAATCTGGCAAGTATTGTGATAAGGTACTCAACAGTTTGGATACTGTTAGTGAAGACGATACAAAGTACACCATCACTTTAAATTCTATTTATAACTATAATAAATTGAAATATACAGATGAATTTGGGGATCCTCTTTTATATACTTTTAAGATACCTATATATAAAATTATGTATGCAGTATATTTCTATAATGGATTCCCGATGCTAAATAAACTGCATACCCACACGTTACGTTTACGTGAAAATGGATTAATAAATCACATAATGGGTGACTTGTTTTATGAAAACTCAAGAAAAATGTTCTTTGCTAAGAGACAGTTTCAAGCTCGTTTTATCTTTCCGAAATGCGTCTTATTTATCGGTCTTGGATTGTCAGCGATTTCGTTTGTTTTTGAATTATTATTCGATTATGTTCAGCGGAAAAGAATGAATCGTGTTATATTTATGAATTAAATGTATTTGTTGGGCATCATGTTGAGAAACATGTTGGTTATTTATGTTAACAACATAATAAAAACAATTGAAAAAAGAGAGAGTGCTATTCATTTGTTATGACTACCTTGTCCATAAGGGATTGTTGTAGTGATAATCGATTATAGTTGGGGAGGCGAAGCGGGTATTTTTGGATTAACTGGTGCGTGGCAGTTAAACTTAAGGGGTAACTTTGCACACAATCGAGTTCTTTTACAAAGGATAGGCTCCATGAATGAGCGTTTCATTTGTGGTCCATATATGCTGCGTTTAATTTGTGGTAGGAACACTTGAATGGGTGCAAGGGTCCTCTCTTATATTTAAAGGCAACGCTTGAGTAGGTAAATCCAAAGATCCCCGCTTCGCCTCCCCTACTATAACAAACCAAATATGTTTTTTGACTTATCCGAGCATTTTGTGAAAATGAGATCAAAGTTTTTTGTATTAAGATCGTAAGTATTTCAAAGTTAGGCTCCTAATGTAGTACTTGATTAAGTATTCCTTAAGCCCCGACTCTAACTTAATTAATTAGTAAGAACTAAAACATCGGAGAAGTAAACCGCAAGTTTATACGGCGAAGTTTCCAAGCTAGTTAACTTGTAATTAAGATTCGTGTTCTATTTGAGGTGATTTGTTTACCACGCATGAGATGAAGTTAAAAAGTTTTTTTACAAGAAAAAGAATTACCTAAATAAAAACTGATTCCTGAAAGGATGTAATATGTGAATTTGGTATTAGATACGCGAAGAAACTGTTGAATTTAAGATATAAGCGTTATTAGCTTATGCGTCGCCACATGCAAACCTACCGTATGTTAGGGGTGAATAGGCCTCAGTCAACAACGCCGGCGCTGTGAGAATTTCTTGACTTTACAGACAGGTTGGATATCGGTGTTTTCCTTCAATGAGAGAATCAAAGTGGAATGTATATGAAAATCGACAAACAAATTTGCCGAGGAGATGGTAGATTCCAAGATAAGTGCTTAAGCATTGCGCCAACATCGATGAAGTTACATAATTATAGGTGTCATACTCGGACTGCCTTAAGAATTCAGTACCGAAAGCTTCTAGCATACACGAACTTGAGGTAATCCATTCATGTCGGTCTTAAGAACGCTTGTATTATTTTGTCGTTATTTAGTCTCAAATATTTGTTCCCAAACATAAAATGCTCGGTGTTTGTACAATAGTATTAAGTACTAAATGCCGTGTTTTGTTCAGATAACAGATCTCTTGACGATTTAAAATTAATGTGAGGCTTTCACGATACTTATGACGAAATAATCAACACTTGAATTTTAAATGATGAAGTAAAACTCACGACAAATTTAGTTATTTAATTGGCTTTCAAATAATCATGTTATATGTATACATATATTTAATTTTACATGTATGTACTTTTATAAACTATTCTACATTTAGGTATTTAATTTAGGTATCTACCGGTATTTAATTTTTATTTAACACTGCAGTTTTAAAATACTATTAATTTTAAATAATATAAAACTAACTGTGGGTTTCCACTGTGAAAAATATGTATAAAACATATTGTTACTACGGTTCCATAAATTGAATAAGTGTTTTGTCAGTGGAAACTCACTGTTAGATAGATTCAAGGCAAGTAAATTTCTCTATACATTCTTTTTCCCTTAACAAAATAAACTATCAGTTCAAAGACTAACGCTATTCCTGACAATACAAAGCCTACTATTAAAATATACCACGGTAAAATAAATTGTACTTGAAATCCTTGTTTATCGTATTTATATTTTTTTGCTTCTTCATGAAATAAATCTTTCAAATGTTTCTCTAATAAACCACTTTCACGTATTCGTAATGCATTATAACGAAGTATATTCATCTTTGGGAATCCTTTATAAAAGTAAACAGCATAAATAATTTTATTAGCCGGTATTTTAAATGAATAAAGAAGAGGATTGCCAAAGGAATCTGTATAATTATATCTATTGAATCTATAAAGGGAATGCAATATTAATGTGTACTTATCGTAATTCTCGCTTACAGTGCGCATACTATTCATGGTCTTATTACAATTTTCATTCATTTCAACGTCGTAGTTAGTTCCAACCGTTGATTTTATCAGGGCTTTTATATTATTAGAAATACAAGGTTCCATTTCATACTTCTTGATATCTTTTTCATTTGAAACTTGATAGTTGTTACTAACGTGTGTAGTGAGACCCATAAGA